GTTTTCTTTGACACATTTTTACTGATTTCTCAAATAGCCACGTTGGGATTCATAGAGAGGGTAGGCGTTGTGATGAGCCTTTTTCACATACTCGTTTTATACCCTATACACCTTACATTTTCCCATGGCTCGCCTGAGTCCTTTTACTACCCTCATTCTTATCCGGACATTAAACTGGAGTATACGCGAGTATAGACAAAATCTGGGCGCAGTGGGAGGGGGAGGGTGGATTTTGTACGTTGCAGTTTCTCTGGTTCCGATTTACGATTTTCACTCTGTCGACCCTGTCAACTCTTGGGGTGTGTGGTGATTCTATCGTCGGGTCGTCGCGCCGGTGGGCGGAGCGAGGCGGCGTGGCGGCCGCCGCGTACGAGTTTTGTTGCGTGGCGTTCAAATTGTTAAAGGGTCGACGATCCCTTTAACAATTTGAAAGAGGCACAGCTTGCTGTGGCCGTTGCTCCAATGACAACTCGGGAGTACGGTAATGCAACTCCGGGATTGCCGCGTCGCGGCGCGGCGTGTGCGGCGTCGCCTGACTTGCCGACGATAGAATCGCCCGGGTGCCACATTCAATCCCTCTGAGATGTGGTAGGCGTGGCTGCGCACTTGAACTGAACGTAGCGACGGTGAGCTTTTCGCGAGTCATTTTCTTTTCCAATTGTAAGCATGCCTTTGTAATACAGAACAAAATGGCAGTTGTCGGGAATTGAAATACCTACGAGTAACCCATCCCACGCCATGTCTAAATGTCACGCCTACTCCATCTCAGGGATATCGAGTGTAGCAAAAGTGCAATGCCCCTCCCCCTTCGCCGAAAACGCACCAAAATTTTTGTTGGGAGCAAATGGTCGGCAAAGTCAGAGTGCATTGAAAAAAAAAGAAAGTAGGATCAGAAGCGTCATAAAAACTTACGCCGCCCTGTTCCGATTTACTCCTGCATCCGGCGTAACAAGGAGAGAAGTACATATGACCAGTGCTTTGCTCACAAATCGGATTGAATTCGCTCTAAACAGTTTTTTTGATAACAGCTTTGAATACGATTTTTGACAGTTCACTATCATAGAAGGCCCATAAGTACTGCCCTACCCATTCGGTGCTTATAAGCGAAGATTACCTTCTTCATATTAGAGACCGTCCCTGTGCTCAATCAATTCGTGGAACCGTACGGTAGACCGTAACATCCACAGCACCCTCGTCACTTTTTGTGGAGCCGTTGAGAAGTGGGGAAACGTTTGCAATTCGAGCACCGGACTATTTGGGCAAGGAAGGAATCTTATGCGTGGTCTGTAGTTAACCTCCTTTCCAATCCTACAGCGTCCTTCTAGACCTTAATTAAGCCTGCTTCTGATCAGATACCCTGGACTTCGAGTTCCACTCGCCCCGACTACCTCTACCACTCTGTTATCTTCGCAACAGCTGTGGGATCTTCGTTTCTAACCCTGATCAATCCTCCTTATCCCCCCCCCCTTTAGCCTCTATACTTTAGCGAATGATGCTGCTCTATGAGAATCTTACATGTGGTCAGCTTTCACTCCCAGGGCACGTTCTGCCGCTTGGTGAAAATTTAGCAGAGTACGACCTCCGTCGAAGTTCTCCCTCTGGTACGATCTCCCCTTCCTCATCCCTCAGTTTTCGTAAATTTCCAACCTCCTATCACTTTTCCGGACAGATGCTCTAGGGTGAGGTACCGTAAAATTTCCCCTTAATCTGACCTCCCCACATATGTTCTCCTCCGGTTCGGCCTAATTCACATCCTATCCTCCAAGTCAAGAAATACCATTTCTAAAAGGGCAAAAACATTAGCGCAAGTAAATGCTGACCCTCACGAACTCTGAATTGGCCTAATGCAGAGTGCAATGCTTTCACGATTCTTGCTGGAAAGGTCGAGCACTGCGCACTTTCAAATAGGATTATTTTGAGATTGCGTCGTGTACTCCACTCTTTCGAAATACAGTTTTTTCGCTTGCCCGCTTCAACAACTGATGAAAATGGACTAGGCGCAGCGCTAAACCCAGCCCCACCCTGACTCGCTCCATCATCCGCAGTGAACAAGACTTGCAGACAGACCTGGCAGTAACAATCAGCATTGCACGAGTCTTGCACTTGATGTTCGCCATTGGAGTGGATATCGCTGAAAAAAAGATATTTTTGCCTCATACAAGTGAAATGATCTCTGAAAAATACTTACAGCTCGTCGTAGCCGATGTTAATGCCGACGAAACCTCTCTGAGGGCAGTGAACAAGAAGACCGGTGGTGAATATTAAAGCTGTCAGATGGCAGACTATGATCATTTTCAGCATTCCGCCAACCTTAACAAGAGTTATCAGCTTCTATCAGTCACTATCACTTCCTGTCACCCATCAACAATGATCCTGCCCCACTTCCCACGTCACTTCCAGGAATCATGTCCCCACTGTTTTTGTGGAGCGCGTTACGGATTCGTCAAGGCTTTCTTCTGAGACCCTTTATCAGCTCTTATCATTACTTATCATTTCCTATGATCCCCCATGATGTTCTCCTTATCCTTCCCGTCATGTTCATTAATTCGAACTCCCTGTGGCTAAATCATAGGAGGTGATGAATTCCCACTCAGGTACACCAGGAGGCAATTTAGTGGAATATTTCCAGTCCTTATCACTGGAGTTAGCCGGGGCGTGTCAGTGGCAGAGGGTTTTGGCGTGGGGCTAGGGCGATTTCCATCAACTTTGCGGCTTCGGTGGCCCACTGAGTGGTGGGAAAAGGATTGGCGACGCACCAAAACCTACGCGCCACTGACATGCCCCATCTGCCATCAGTGATCTAGTCTGTGTAGTGGGATGGCACTATCGAAGACCATGTCCTGCGAGTGTCGATAGTATGTGCAGAGGAATCGGGCAAGAAAAGCCCTCTTCTCATATGGTCCTGACATTTCGCAGAAGAAAAAAAGAACTAAAAACGTTCGTCAGGCGGTCAACAAATCATGATTGCTGTATGGATGGCTCAGCGTCAGCTGACCCAGAATTGTGAAGGAATTTGGAAAGAATAGACCACTTGAAGAAAACTCACTGTAATTGAAAGGTGGGCGAATAACATCGCCGACCATGTTACCGCCAGCGCCGCCAGCCGAAGATGACGACAGGATGAAAAAGAAAGCTCCAAAACTTCCAAAAATGGTGTGTGTGTGCAGTTCTCGTTCGTCTTCGCTGCCATGAAGGGGGCGTGTTCAGTAGGGGTGGTTTTTGGCGCCGGCTTAGCCCGTCCTTTACCGGTGTTGAGCGGTTGTGACTTACATCAATTAGTTGGAAAAAACTCGGGACCCTACGAGAATGCACAGTCATGTCGCTGTTCCAGAACAAAGAGAAAAAAATAGAAAACGGCGAGGTTTGTTCGCGCAACACAGTCCCTGACGAGGCGGCCGAGTGCGGATCCGCAGCGATCGGCGCATATGTGACAGTGGAGGGGGCCACTAAATGGTACTACAGAGGGAGCAGATTCCGCATCATTCCCCTTTTGTATAGCCATGATCCCTGCAAAACGGAGTAGGCCGTGCGAGGGGCGCGAGCGGGTCGAGCGTAGCAAAGGCAGCCTGCGTTCCTGGCCGAATTGGTGTGACTCCAGAGTTACGACGATTGTTGGAGAAATAAGGGCGGGCCTGAGCGTCCAGATCCACTATGCAGTCGCGTTCGCTTATTGGCGTTCGAGGGATTGACGACGGGTGGTACGTTCGTCCACCGTATCCACATCACATATGAAGCGCTGCTTTTTAGGCTCGGTGGTCGAAAAGGTTTGTTGTGGTCCATTTTTTGCTGGTTGGGCCGGTTGAAAATAGTTCAGCAGGGATTAGGTTTACGCAGAGTGTGTGTAGATCAAGACGTCAGCAAAGATAAGAATCGAGCAGGCGTAGGAGTGTAATGGCTAGAGAAGGTTTCGAGATTTTCGTGCATAAAGCAGGCAAATCGGCGGTTTGATACATAAGTCGAATCTCGAAGATGCCGATGAGTAATGCAAAGCGGATGAACGTTGGATTTCGGCAAATTCTCTGGAAAACTAACACTAGTCGAGTCACGTTGCATTATATGAATAGAAGACTTGCCATTATAACAACTGGTAGTTTTTTGGCTTCTTTTTCATCCAGCTTGGAATTACATACATGGACCTGAAGTAATATGGCTGTAGATAGTATAGAAGCAAGTACTCTTGTGCCATGACAATGACCTTATTCATCAATGTTTCACTTTACGAGTCATTTCATGGAGCTCCTGGGTGAAAGAGGAAGAAGGAAAAGCAAAAAAAATGGGATGGGAGGAGGGACTTCGTTGGTGACAGATATTCTGACATCAGGAGTGATTTATTGTGGTACCTGCGGAAACTATCAACACTGCAGAAAACATCAAAAAGTTTTTCTTAGGCTGAATCCCCCGCCCATTTCACAATGTTTATAAGTATGCGGAAAAAAGGGGCGTGGCTATCTGGGACGGGGCTTATAATGAGGTGTACTGTGTGCAGGGATAGTGTATAGGGCGCTTCTCGCGGTACTGGAAAAAAATTGCTTTCCGAAAGATTATGCACTTGGTTAGGCAGCGTTCAGACTTCGCGACAGCAGCGCTTTGGTCGCGCGTTCGACGCGATCGATGCAGTCGAAAGCATGCGCATCGATCGCGCCGAACGCGCGACCGAGGCGCTGCCGTCGCGAAGTCTGAACGCTGCCTTAAAGGCTGCCTCAACTCAACAACGGACTTCCTGTAGCCTTTTTTTGTTAGATGCAAAATCTATGGTCCTCATAGGTGTGGTAATGACCTTCCTTTTTCCTACTGAATTCTTCACTTTGAAATTGACTGAAGTTCAATAATAAATTGTTTAGGACCTGATTCACATCTTTGGCTCGATGTCTTTTGGCCTCCGGAAGTTCGCGAGCAAATCCCAGAATTGGGAACGCGACCAGTAGTGCAGAGATCGAACATCCCAAAAATCCAATCCACCATGCGCCAATCCAGCGAGGATCCGAACGAGCTATTGGTGGACTGGAATGAGAGGGTGGTAGTTTTGTTGTTTTGGAGCGATTGGTGGAATAGAACTCACTGATCGACTCTGTCAAAGTCATCGTAGATGTTCAACATAAATCCGCCCACGAAAACACCAATCACAGGGCCGAATGACGTTAACACCGCGTGAATTGCTGAAAATTTATAAGAAAAGATTCATGTAAAAAGACCACATAACATCTAGGAACTGCTTTCGCTGCAGGCGCTGTGGCATGTCAAGGGGCTGAGTGGGTTTGGCGCAGCTGTCACTCCTTTTTTCACCAACTGTTGCCGCTTGCCCGCTTCAACAAATGGTGGAGAACGGGCAGGCGCCGCCCCAAACCCAGACTCCTTACACGCCCACCACCAGCGGCGAAAATGTCTATATTTTCCCATTCCATGATTTCCTGAAGATTCAATTTGCCCCTACCCAAATAAACGGGAGAAGCCTTTTGTGTGACGCTTTCATCGATGAACGTTGTGCCAATGGAAAATAATGGTGTTGAGCCGACTCCATGAAGTGTCTGCCCGAGTAGGAAGAGAAGGAAATAGGGGTTGAGAAGAGAAGGCAGCGACTGAGCTTCACAGGTATGCTCCTCCAGCTCTCTGAAAAACGTGATTTTTGAGCAGTAAAATATTTTCTCACAATATTTTCTCATGAATTATACTACCTATTACTTCAGTAGTAGCATGTATAAAAAAATTAGGTCTAAAGAGTTTCGGGGATCTCGATCAAAAATACTTGTAAGGAAAGACAGCCCACACGGAAGCTGACCCAAACAGAGAGAGGGCAGTTTCTTGACCAAATGGAACAAAAATGATTGGCCTCAGTTTTCACTCCTTTTAAGTCACAAAATACCTCAGAGTGCACTGCCCGAAGTCGGTCACGTTGTTCGTGGAATGTTCCGGCTTGTAGGGACTGATGAGCCAGTGAGGGAGTGCGCATATCAGCGAGCCGAGTGCCATCACCACACCACCCCATCCGAATCCATCGGCCTTTGTGACCTGCAATTAGAGCGCTGGTTAAATTTATTTATGAATTCCAATACTATTTTGAGGCTGCGAAACAGATTTCGCCTTTCCTGCCTTTCACGCTTATCAAGGCCATTTACCAGTTTTATTTTGCTTTGATGTATCAGTTGGCACGCGTCGGCCGTGCCAGTCGGGACTGGGCTTAAGCGCGGAGCCTAAGCCGCTTAGGCCCGGTCTTACAACAGTTGGAAGCGGGCAAGCGACCGGTACATTGGTGGAAAAACGGGCTGGCCGTCTGGGTCGAAGCCACTCTCTCTCTCCCCTGGCACGCCCTAGCATTCGCAGAAAAGAAGGCTGTATAGCGTCTTCGAGAAGACTTCTACTCACCGCTGTTTCCCCACTGACAAACAGGAAAGACCACGAGGAGCACAGCGAAGTCATACCAACTTGAGATGATACCGGTTTGCGTGCTGCAATGAGAAATTTTGGATGGAATTTTATCCTCAACTCCGACGTACCTGGTCATTTTAAATCGCCTCTCCAATGTAGACAGTCCAACGGGGAATATGGCGTTTACGACGAAACTCTGAACATTTTTTGAAAAAACGAATATATTTAAGAGCGGATTAATGGCTTACTTGTATGATGCACAAAGACCAAGCAATCAATAGCAACATTTGGCGTTGTGAAACCGTTGGAGCCAAGCTGGAGTGCAGCTGAAATTGTACTGGTAAAAGAATGGTCGCGATGATCGACAATCAGCGAATATAGGAAAATGAACGATTCTGACCGAGAAAGGTATGTGGTCCAAAAAATACCCCGGACTATGAATCAGTTCGAGGGAAGTTATCTGAGGCAAAGCACGCAATCACGACGTGTGAGATTTTCGCAAAACACCACCCTCCTGACAACCTGCTCTGGGCGCGACCCCCTTTCTCCCACCTACCATCTTCCTAACCTCTCCCAACTTCCAGCTACTTTTCCAGTTTTTCAGAGAGTTTTCCAGATTTCCCTTGAAAGACAAGCGTCAAGCGAGGGAGTATTAACACCAATCAACTTATGGAAGG